ACACAGGAAAATCTTGCTATGCATAGTCTCATATACATGATACGTAACAGCATTGTCACTATTGATCACAACACCTTTGCAAGGTTCCATAACATATTCAGGAAGTAATGGTTTTGTGAAACTGGATAAAGACAGTCTAATGTCCTCTAGTTGTTAAATCCCATGCCTGCTATTTTGGGTGGTCAGTCCTTACGGGACATAATTTTGTTATTGTTATTATTAATAGGAGCAGCAGTTATAGTAGTAGGAGTAGTATTACTAGTGGGAAGGGATAAAAAATTGCACCTGAAGAACATCTCATTTATTCTGAGCAGAAATTGGAGACACGCAGGGAGACACTCTTACCTCCTCAGAGAAAAATGTCTATTATATGAAAATGGATACAGTCTGCGCATCACCAAGCATAATGCTTCTTTTTCTTCTCTTTTTTTCTCTTTTCATCTAAAAACATTCATTTTGCCCTGTGAAGTGAATGCAACACTGAAACACACTGTTGATCACTTTTCCTTCAGGTAGCAGCAGCGGTTATTGAAATCTCTATGACAATAGACGTCTCCACAGAATAAACAACGAGAAAAGATTGCTTCATGAGTGTGGAGAAACTGTGTTTTACGAAGGGCATGTGAAGGGTCTAGTGAAAACAGGCATATGCACTGTACGCGCAGTAGACTGACCTCTTTGCAGTGACAGCAACCTTCCTGCGGCAAACAACAGACACCGTGTTTGGAGCTGCTCCTCTGCCAGGCTCTACCACCATGTCCCACAGTGCTGAGTCACTGGGCCGAGCTGCACTGAATGACATGCCCATCTTTACTGCAGCCCTGCAGCAAAGACATGCACATATAAATAGGACACTTAGTATAAAGTGCAACTTTGTACACTTTTGTAGACTTTTTGTAAAATGTCATAAAAACAAAGACAGGACAGGGGATGTGCTGTGTAACAATAAAGAATTAGGAATGAAGAAAGCTTCATAATGTTTGAATCTTTTATTACAGAACATGATGCAATGTGATTTTCTGCTGTAACGGACAACGTCGGGTTATACGGAATTGTTCTGACGCTCAAAAGAAATATTTGAACTGTTGCATCTGTCTCTTTTTGGATGTGCAACAACAATATTTGCCATATCTTTTAGTATAATGTACACAGGTACTAAGGTTACTAAGGGTTGTGTGCACTTGCTTGACAACGTGTGGGTTTTCTCTGCGATCTTATGTGTGCTTTGCTGCTCGTGTTGAACAAGGTGAGTCACTGACAAACTGAGTCACAGGTTGCTTGAAGGCTGAGAATTAGTGGGGTTATTTAATTCCCATTAGCCATTAGAAGATCTGAAAATCAGTTAATCACAGTCTTACACACACACAACACACACCACACACACCACCACACAACACCACACACACGCCCAAAACCGAAAAAAAAAAAATCCCTGCCAAATCCAGCTATCACCACAAGTTTTCTGTCCATCCATCCATCTTCTTATATGATGTAGGGCCATGATGGTAGCAGATTCAACAGAATATTATTTTTCTTGGCAACATTTTAGTTCCTCTTGGGGGATACTGTGGTGCTAACAGGCAAGATGAGATACACAATCTCTCCAGCGAGTTCTGGGTCTCCCCTGGGGTCTCCTCACAATTGGACATACTCAGAAGCCACCGCTAAGGGAGGCACCCAAAAGCATTGTGGTCAGATGCCACAACCACCTCAGCTGGCTCCTTTTGACAACAAAGGAGCAGCGGCTCCATGCTGACCTCCCTCTGGATGGCTGAGTTCTTTACCCCTGTCTCTAAGGCTGCACCCAGCTAGCTCATAAGTTCAGCCACCACAAGTGTTACAGATCTGAAAACTGAAAAGTGATACTTGGGGAACAAATCCTTCAGATCCCTGTTCGAAGTGCAATGATTGGCTAATTATATTATAAAAAGGAAATGAGTCTGAGACGTGAAACCAGAAATCCTTAAACCTGCATTGTTTTTAGTGACCTGCAGATGATGACTCCCTCTTTTCCAAAAAAGAAAGCAGTTAAGAAGTCTATGGAGAAATTACTCTGATGCTCATTGGAAACATTTTTCAGATTAAAAAAAAAAACATTAAAACCATTCATTTTGCTCCCAAGGGCTTCCAGGCTTTCTTGGATTTTTTTAAGTGGTCTTGAGCAACAGTTCTCCAAGCTTTGTGGAGGAAGTTTTTCCTTGGACACTGGTTGCGTTTTCATTCATTTTCAGCCTAATCAGTTCCCAAACTGTTAGCTGAAAGTCTTGGCATGTTGTGCAGCTTGTCCTTAAAAATCTGAGGAAAAGTAGATGACAAAAGAAGTAGCAAGCTTAAAACCTATCTATAGCAGATTTATAGTATCTGAGCGCCATATCCTAAAGAAGAAGGAAAAATTCCAGCAAAGAACTGACCCAGGAATTCAGAGATACTGTACATGTGGCTCTTTAATTGATCCATTTGCTGTTCACTGAAGCCTCATCAGAAATGGTCGTAGTGGAAGGGTAGCTGTTAAGAAGCCTTTCTTATGGAAGGCTAAACATGAAGGTGCCAAATTACACAAGAATTTAACTGAAAAGCAGAAGCAACAGATCTTATGTTCAATTTGTTATCAATATGTGAAGTGGAGGTTAAGAAAGAGGTAAAATAATAATAATAATAATAATAATAATAATAATAATAATAATAATAATGGATTGCAAAACAAGTGGAGCACTATCAGTCATGTACTGGACTCCACAGATAGTGACGTCAACATTACTGAAGCAGTGTGGGATCATTTTAAGAGAAAATGAAACAAAAGGCAGACAAGATCCAAAGAAGAGCTTTGAATGTCCTTCAAGAGGCCTTGAGAACTATCCTGAAGACTCCTTAAAGAAGTTACAAGAAAGCTTTCCTAAGAGAGAGTTCAGGCTGTGTTGAAGAAAAAAGTGGTCGCAAACTATAAAGAAATAACAAGTGACTCAAGGTTTTTGCAGAGTACTGTTCTGTTCACGATTTGATTTGTAAATTATGGCCCCATGCAGAGTAAAATAAATGGTAAACCTTTGTATGGCATGGCCAGACATTTGTGAAGCAGACAGATTCAAATTTCAAGGATTCAGCAAGGTGCCAGCAATGTTCAAAGTGAAATTCAGCCCACGAGCATATAGAGAGCAACAGATAGACTGTGGTTGTGACAGAATGTCTGTTCTTCAAGAAAATATCGAGGTAAACACATTGAAAATACCATTAAAACCTCCTTCACCTGCTTCGTCTTTAAGGAAGCCAGATCAACATTTTCATTATGTCAACTCCAAAATACTCTTCCTGCCATCAGTTTAAGACGTGCAAGGCTTAAGCATTTATTAGAAGAAGTGACATGGAGTGAAAACCTGTTATTTTACAACAAACAGTCCATCTCTTTTAACAGCCTGTTGTTATTTCGGCTCCAAATCAGATTTCAAACAGTTGAAGAACAATATGACAGGATGACTGGAGCAGATTCCTGCTAGAATAAGGGTCAGCAGAAAAGTGCGTGGCATTAGGCTTAGCACACTGACACACACATCCAAATACACACACTTAAAAATACAGATTTGTAATCAAAGAGCGACCAGACAGATCAATAACCCCTGAGACTGAGGTCAGTGTTAGAGTGGTTTCAAAGGCAAAATACAGTAGGCAAGAATTAAGGGCACATTTAAACACACATCAGGCACCCACACACATATTGTTCTGCTGAAAATTCAATGCGTGCCAGATAAAGACTTGCACAGAAATTACTATCTGAAGCAAAACTCTTATGCCAAAGGCACATGTTTTCATTTGTGATTTTAATTAATGTTTGAAAACAATAAATGCAGATACTGACTCAGTCGGGCAGATCAGAATACAAATTTTAAAATAATGAAACAATTTTTGAGGATGTTTGTCTTTCATTTCCCTTAAATCTTAATTTGCTGCCTTTTAAGGCATAATAATTTGTCATTGTGATCATAGTTTAGAAAAAAGTCAAACTGTGTTTTAGTTAGGGGAAATTACAGCCAAGGATAAATGTATTCTTTTGCTATATGCAGTGAATCATTTTCTTGCTGCTTGCCCAGCTCAGCATCACAGTGACAACAGCACCTGATGACCACCCTTCCCAGGGGTGCAAACCACTTCAACTGGCTCCTATTGAGTGTGGAGAGGCAGTAACTCAACGTCAGGATCTTCCTGGATCACTGCGCTTCTTGTTCACAGGCAGACACAGGCTTCCCTGCAGAGAAACCTCATTTCAGCCACTTTTATCCCACGCTTTGTCTTTGTCACTCATACCCAGAGTTCACAACCACAGGTGGGGGACAGAGCGGATATCGACCTTTAAACTGAGCAACTCTTCACCCCTGGTTTACCAAACTTCATCTCTTTGTTTAAAGCTGCGAAAGTTGCAAAGCTCTTGCCTCTTTTGTTTTTTTAGGCATTCGGGTAACCTAAAATTATTTTTTGCTGCAAAAGCGGCCTCTGTGAACAGACTGTTTTATGTCTCTGTACTGTTTTTTTAAAAGCTGCCTGTGGTTAACAGGTGGAAAACCACACACACGCACAAAGAAACCCAAAACAAAACATACACATAATCAGTCCTGGCAGCCCAGATCATCTCTACCCGAAAGGGTTGACCTCTTAATTCACTTTCAATCAGGGGCACAGATTATCTGGCCTAACTCTGCTGGAGTGGACTCAATCTTGGGCCAAAGAGCGAAGTAGAGCTGGGATTTCTCCCAGGAGGAATCAATCACTTTGCCAAGCTCCTCAGAGCTAGCCTTCACTTGGACTCAGCTGCTGCACTCAGTCCCCTCTTCTTGTCCAATCTCATTCTGGATGTGGCAGCAGGTCATAAATACACAGACCAAAATCACTGACCTGACTA